AAAGTATGCAAAACATTTATTGTGTCACCTGTGGCATGCTTGAGGACTTGGCTGGCCTCAGGCTGGTGTCCAGTCTCTCTGTTCCCTTCGTAGCCATCCCTCTTTTCTGGCTGGCTCTGTCCCCTTAGATTCTGCTGCATGACAGAGATGCTCATCAGAAGGTCTGAGGTCAACCTTCCATTCGGCATCTGAGATGAAAGACTCACCTTCTCCATCTCTAATTTGGAAAATTCCAGGGAAAAGCTGGGTCAGGCTGGGTCCCATGCCAGAAGGGACGAGGAGTTCTAACAGATAGCCTCAGGGGGAAGGCGGGTTTCTAAAAGATGGTAAGGAGTCAGGGGAATGATGGTCCCAGAAGGAACCAGAATGAAGGGCAGTTTTGTTCTCCTTTGGCTAGTGCTTTGGGATAATAATAATAAAAAAAAATGGTTACTTAATGATCTTATAAAAATTATCTCTCTGATCCTCCTTGGGCCTTACTTTATAATTCCAACCAATATAGCTTGATTATCTATTTACTGAGGCAGCTGTAAGGGCTAAATGTTGGATATGATACTTAACACAGAATGAGTGTTGGCAAGCCTTCTCAATAAAGAGAACAGGGATGGTAGAAGCAGGGAATTAGACTAAGGAGCATCCATTGAAACAGGTTCTGGGAGGACAGTTGTAAGTGTGGAAGAAGTCCATGCACTAGGTAGAAACCAGAGGCCGTAGTTAGGCAGAGCCATCAATACCAAGAGTGACAAAGAGGTCTTGAACCAAAGAGAGGCAGCATAATATGGCTCTCCCCCTTTCCTAATCCAACAATTGCAAACATGGCTAACACCTGGGTTATGACTGCCCCCAAGAGTGGGATGCTGCTGGGATGTAACATTCGTGAGTCCGTGCATGAGACAGTCCCATGCAAACAAAAGTTATCCCACCCAAATGCCTAAAGCATTATTATTACACCCATGAAATAAGCAGAAAAATCCCAATAGACTGGCAGGGACAGTGAAAAGCATCAATGGTTAAAGTCAACTACTCCACACGGCTTAAGGTAGGTCCTTTGTCAGGGGACGAGACAGAAATGGGAAAGGTATAAAGAGACTTCTGCCTGCACAGAGGCTGAAACAAAGATCACAGACCCTAACGAGCACAGAATGTCTGGCATATCAGAGTCCCCAGCAATTCTGCCCCAGGATACTTGTGCAGTTTTGCTTCTCTGAGGCTTGATTTCCTTCAAAGGAGGCATAGTAGGGGCCTGGTAGAGATGCTGTACCAAGTGTAATATAGGAAAATGCTCAGCACAGCATCAGATTCATTGTGAGAGCTCAATCAAGGGAAGTTACTGTGGTTATTGTTGCTATCGGTCACATTAACACACTGTGTGTGCTGCTCCCTGTGATTCTAACAGTTGGGAGATGGAGGAGACAAGGAAGATCAGGAATTTGTTTGTTTGTTTTTATTTTTAGGTTTTTGTTTTTAGGTTTTCTCTGTAGCTTTTGGAGGCTGTCCTGGAACTCGCTCTGTAGACCAGGCTGGCCTAGAACTCACAGAGATCCACCTGCCTCTACCTCCTTCCTGAGTGCTGAGATTAAAGGTGTGTGCCACCACCACCCAGCAGTGTACAGGAGTTTAAAGCAAGCTTCTGCTGCATAGTAAGTTTGAGACTACTCTGTTCTAAATATGGCACTCCCTGTCTCAAAACAAACAACCAAACCAAACCAAACCAAAACAAACAACAACAAAAAAAACAGAGCCAATAAGCAGAGGTCAGGATTTGGAAGTTGAAATCTCATCCTTAGGATGTGGAGCTCACTCTGATGTTACCAGGTAGGACTAGAACTTGGGACAGGGATGACTCTGGCACTGCAGCTAGAACCCAGCAGGTCTTCCTGTGACGAAAAGGAAAAAACAACCAGCTGGGAGCAGATCCTAACTGGGATGCCAGGAAAGATGCCTGTTGACAAGGAGAGGCCATCCCTCAAACAGGATTAGAATCAAGAAAATAACATTGACATCTGGTATATACAGAAACAGGAGGACATGACCAGAACACAGTAATGTGAATCCCTGGAAGTTTGCCATATGAATCAACAACAACGAACAAAAAAAAGTGTTGATTTTATTTTGAAATAATAAAAAATGTTAGTGCTAAGTGATATAGTTAGGAGTTCTGGAATGCTATTGAAATGAGAAGCCATGTTTTTTTAGAACACTATTGGATGGCATCAGAAGGGCATGTTAGAAGTCCTGAAAGATGGATCAATTTTAGACATGGCAGTGGGAAAATATCCTCTAGAGAGGGGCTTGCTGTCTAGCCCAGGTCAGCCTTGAACTCACAGACACTCTCTCCGTTACAGCTCTGCACCAGCACCCTGAGCTTACACAGAAGTTCTCAATGTCTTCAATTCTCCTTTGTGTCTCCAGAGCCCTGAAGACGACCCAGAAACACATCAGAGTAGCTGAGCAGACCAGGTTTCCAGAGGAAAGAATGCTCTGAGGACATCTTGAGGAAGAACTGAATTAATTGGAAGACTTGGTGCACTATAAAGAATTAGGGTGATAGGATAGTGTTCAGTGTTTCTGTTTTAGAGAATGTTAGCTGACTGAAAACTATTTCAATCATTTCTGCCATCACCAGTTGTCTCCGCCACCAAACATCTCTATGTCTACCTTCTCTCTCACAGGCAGGACAAATGGTGGGAAACTACAGTAATTGAATCAGCCGCTCTTGGACTTGGCATATAAAACTACCAGAAAAAAAAAAAAAAAAAAAGAAATCTGTACATCTTCCCAGGGCTTTCTTTCCCTTTAGTTAGACATCCTCTTAAAATAAAGGAGGGGAAAGTTCAGAAGCACACCATAGAATATTCGTCACATGGCTGGCACCCTGAGAAGAGATGGGCTGCTCCCACCTGTCCCTGGCTAAAAGAATCTTGATTTTGATTGGACGGTTGCCAGAGTCATTAGCATAGTGTACCCTGACCTGGATTAGGGAACCGCGTCCACTCAGAAATGACCAGAGCCTGCAGGACCTGAACCAGAGCTGACACTGGTGTGACACCTGGACAAGAAGCCTGAAGGAAGGGCTCAGGAGCGCTGAGGGTGGAAAGTGTAAGTGACTCATGGCCACAGGCCTCTAAGACACGGCTTCATTTGTTGCAGTCCCAGGTCTGTAAAAATGATGAAAGTTAAAATGCTTTGGTCATGACACTATAAAAAAAAAAAAAGGAAATTTTAAAAATTTAGATATTTAAAAAAAATTTTAATCCTGGGGAAAGATTGAGTTTACTTTTTGAAGGGATAAGGCAGTTTTTTTTCTGTTTTGTTCTTAATTTTTTTAGGGAAATACAAAATTAATGCTGACTATGTAAAAGTGTGTATGGGGAAGAGTGGTTTTGGGGGGGTTGTTTTTTTTTTTATCTTGTTTTGTTCTTTTTTTTTTTTTTTTTTTTTTTTTGTTTTTCGAGGAGACAAGGTTTTTCTGTGTGGCTTTGGAGCCTGTCCTTTAACTCACTCTTGTAGACCAGGCTGTCCTCGAACTCATAGAGATCCACCTGCCTCTGCCTCCCAAGTGCTGGGATTAAAGGCATGAGCTACCACCGCCTGGTTAGGGAAGGGTGTTACTGTACTCTTTTAGAGTAAAAATTTTATTCCCCTTCTCTTAATTTAAAAGCAAGTATCTAGTCTCAACTAAGAACATCATTTTTAGGTTTTGATAATATAGATCTTGTTTTCCAAAGGGTTTTCTTTGCTTGTTTTTGTTTTTAAATCTGTTCTGTTTTGTGTAAAGCATGCTGTAGATCATATCTGTTCTAATTAGCTATGACCAAGTTTGGGGACAGCAGAGTCACGGATGTGACTGTGACTTAATGTTTACATCTTCTGGATTTGTCAATGGAGCTTTCTCAATTAAGGTGTCCACCATTTTTATTCAGTAGCTCAATAATTACTTCCTAAACATAGAAATTTACTTAGAAGTTATAGGCTATGAGCCGAGGCTGGGGCTCAGCAGTGCAGTGCAAGGCCGAGGTATCAATCCTCTGCACCACAAACTCAGAAATAAATACAAGGAGGACAGAAACCCTCTCAAGTATTTAGTCTTGAATGCCAGCATTTCGATCTCACTCGCATACACTCGCATGCGCATGGGGGAAGGGACTTAATGTTTCTTGGAGCCTGTTACCACATGGCTGTAGCTGATCTTGGAAAGGTGAGGAACAGACTGTGGGATTTATCTATGAACATATTCATTAATGTAAATTGCTATGGAATATACCCTAGGTTCATTTCGTATCTTGAGGTAAACTTACATAATTTATGTAGAAATAGGTTTAAGTCATTGGCTCCAGGCAATAATGTCTCCGAATTCTCTCATAACCCAGCTATCTAGCAATGAGGGGAGGAAGGAAACCCAAACCTGAAGGTAAAAGCTGTGACCAGTGTCTTGGAACCCCAGACTAGCCTACCGTAGCAAGCCTAGTGGCTTCTGCATTTTGTTGTTCATTAGCAAGTTGGTACTTGCAAAAAATGTCAATGGAATTGCTATTTGTGGTGAGCAGGTGATAAATGGATTTTTTAAAATATTGTTTTACTTTGCTTTTTATTTTATTAATATATTAGTGTGTGTGTGCACTTATGCAGAAATCAGAGGACAACTTTTGGGAGTTGGTTTTCTCCTCCCGCCATGTGGGTTCAAGATAAGATCTTCAGGATTGGTAGCAAACACCTTCACCTGTTAAGCCACCACCACCCTCTTTTGACACAGTCTCGCATTGTAATTCAGGCTGGCCCTGAACTCGTGGCTATCTTCTTGCCTCAGCCTCTGGGGTATGAACCGCCATATCTGGCTTCAAAGCTTTTAATCTCTTAAATCATCAGTGTTGCTATCGTTTATTTTCTTAGCTTTGGAAAACAAGCCCCGGAGCTGCTTGTGTGGCCAGACACAGGTTTGAGAGAGAGAGCCCTCTAGCAGGTCTCTGAGAAGCTGAATAAGGTGGTGACCCGACCTTATCATGGAACCCGACGACTTTGATCCTGAAGATAAAGAGATTCTGAGCTGGGATATTAACGACATGAAACTGCCACAGGTATGTGCTTGCAGGACTGCCCTGAGCATGCAGCTCTGTAACCTGACAATTAACTGACCAGATTCTAGAAGGGAACCTGTGAGGTCCTAGCTGGGCAAACTACTTCAGAGCTTCAACAATACAGCCAACTGAGTTGTTTCAAGGGGAGATGTAAGGCCTAGGATATGGGCGCCTCTTTATTTTCTAGGCACCCCAGGAATAGACAGAGACAAAGAAAGTGCTGCTTCCTCCCTTTCAAAGCTGGCTCACTTGGTTTAGTACGCAGTTTGCAGTGCTTGCCAGTAGAATGACTCCTTGTAACACATAAGACCCCATAGCACCTTCTTTGCCATAGCACTTTTAACAGTTAACCTGAGGCTGGACAATCTGAACAGTGGTGCCCTCGGGCAACACAGCTACTTTAGAGGGACTGATTGATGGAAACCCCACCTGTGGGCTCACTGGGTGGCTTCTACTCTACCCAGGAGTGCTTTGCTTTTCATACTGTCTTTGACCTCCTCTATGGCAAATGCTGTGTGTGTGTGTGTGTGTGTGTGTGTGTGTGTGTGTGTGTGTGAAGAGAGAGAGAGAGAGAGAGAGACAGAGATAGAGAGAGACACAGAGAGAGAGAGTGAGTGAGAGAGAGAGTGAGTGAGAGAGAGAGAGGGAGGGAGGGGAGAGAGAGAGAGAGAGAGAGAGAGACTAGGTCTTACTCAGCAGCCTAAATTAGCCTTAAATCCCCAAAGGAGCTCACACTTGCCTGGAACTCACAGCCCTCTAGTTTCTCCATCCCAAATGCTGGGGACACAGGCCCAGCTAGCAACTGACCTTTGAACTCTAATTCTATAGAAAGCATTGATTAAAACCAAGTTTATTAGTTTATCATTTTGACTATCTTGTCCTCTCTTCCTGGTGTTTAAAGATACTTTGACTGGATATTGGTTGAAAAGGTGACTATGAACACTAATCCGGAAATACCTAGTACCAAATGTCTGTCTGATCCTGGGGACCAAACAGGGCAGAGCAGTTGGGGATTCCAGTCTCAGTTCATGATCCTTCTGGGTTCTCACTCTAATGGACACTTCCTTTTAATTCTTTTGTCTTCTCTTAATTTCCCCCTTGAAGTCTCCTTTGGTGGATGTTGAGAAAGCTGGAAGACAGAAAATATACCTATTCATTTTACTCAAGGGGGCAAATAAGCCATCACTAAAGCCAGGCAAACATTCATTTTCCGGACTTCCAGTGGGAGTTGCTCTTGATTTGTACTGCAATTGCTGTCGCTGTTTTGGGCAAGCTTTTGAGTCAATTTTAATTGCTTTGGGTTCAATGGCCCATATTCCCCCACCACCACCTATTTTTAATTTCATGCTTGCAACCCAGAAATGTGAGTTGAAGATAATATCTAGAGCTGAGGTCTTGAAACTGGCAGGCAGCACAACCCTGTGTACCAACATGCATTTTTCTAGGTGTGCTGGTGTATGCCTATAATCCCACCACGCAGGAGGCGGGAATAGGAGAATCACCACCAGTCAGAGACTGGCCTTAAAAAGAAAAGAAAACAAAAAACAAAAAAAAAGATGGAGTTTTCCTGACCAGAAGATCCAGACAGTCCATCAGCTCTATAAACAAAAGAGAAAGACCAGCTTCCCTAGAGGGAAACTCAGGGCCCAGCATAAATTGTCAAACTCCAAAGCATTCTTGGCTCCTTGGACCACCACACAGGAAGGTCCATGGCAAACATGTATGTCCTTGCTCTGGAAATAGACCCTTTGCAGTCAGTGAACAGGTGAATGGTTGCTTATAGAAAAGCTATCAGGCTTATAAAACTCGGGGCAATAATGAAAAGTGCAAACATCCTTCAGTATGGTCTAAGCAGATGCAACCCCAGCCAGATCTGGGTTTATCTGAACTCTGGAGTCATATCTACAACCAGTTAAGGTGAAAAATGAAAGACCTTGGGAAGCTTCAACAATGGGATTTGTGTGTTTCAGAGCAATACGAAAGCAGAGGATATCCAATGGGAAACTGAGGACCTGGAGATATCAGCCCTGAAATTGAGTTCTAGTTGTGCCTCTCTCTACTTGTAGAACCTCTGAGAATTATCTGCCTCTCTTCAAATTCCTTTTCCTCCTCTGAAAATGCTGCTGCAGCATGCAGTGGTCTTTTCTGTTCCTATTGATTCTGATAGCCAGGGATTCTAGAATTGTCAGCCTGGGCCTTCTCTCTCTCTGTCTCTCTGTCTCTGTCTCTGTCTCTTTCTTTTAGTGCATATGAGTGTTTTGCCTTTGTCTGTGTACTATGTGAATGTCTGATGCCCACAGAGGCCAAAAAAGGGCAATGGATTCTCTGGAACTGGAGTTACAGTCAGTAGTGAGCTGCCATTCAGGTGTTGGGAATTGAACCCAGTTCCTCCGGAAGAGCAACAAGAGTTCTTAACCATTGAACCATCTCTCTAGCCCTATTTATTTAGGTTTTTAAGACTCATAGAAGTCCTCCTGCCTTAGCCTTCCAGCTAAATGGAACTGTATAGCTATGCCTAGCTGGTCTGGAGGTCACATCGTAGACCAGGCTAGCCTCAGAACTGGTGACTTCTGCCTCCTGAGTAGTGGGGTTACTGTTGCGAGCCCATGAGCCCAGCTTTCCATTTTTCCTAATACATCTGCTACGGTGTCAGCCCCAAAGCACAGGCACTTAACTACACTATTATGGGCAGAAGTCTTATTCTAGGCCAGTGTGCTAGACAGTTGCACTTTCCTGTTCTATTCCCCTTAAATTACATTTTCACCTGCAAAATTAATCATTGTAGAGTTTGCATGATCTAAGCAGCAAATGTCTGGTGTTGGTCTTGTCTTACTTTCACTCAAAATATGGATTACATGGTCCCAGAGAGTCTTAAACTTGTCACACAGACTATGACAGTTGAGAGACAAAATTGTAACTTTTTTTTTTTTTTTTTTTTGCTGAAAATTGAGGAGACAATGTCCTTTTCTACTAAATAGTATTCATTTCCCAGGGAATGGACTGCCCACTGTTCTCACAGCCACTGGCATTCCTAAGCTGAAGAAGGGTTGTTCTATTAACATCACAGACACCTCAGTCATTTTATTCCTGGGCCCTGGGCAGTTGTCAGGTCAAACCCATGGCCAAAACAACACTAAGACATTTACTCACACAATTCCAATCTGGTTGTTTTGTTGGTGATGGTTTTGTTGTTGTTTGTTTGTTTTGAGGCCAGATCTCACTATGTAGCCAAGGCTGGACTTGAATTCACTATGTAGCTCAGGGTGACCACAAATTCAAGATCCTCTTGCTTTCACCCGTGCTGAGATTACTGGTATCATAATGGTGCCTAGCTAATTTCATTTTGATTTGTAGTACTGTAGGCAAATGCAGGGCTCCATGAATGCTAGTTAAGTATGCTGTCACTGAGCTATACTGTCCACCCAGTTCCAAGTCTTGAGTCTATTTCATTTTCTCCATAGAGAGAACATTCTTTAAAATGGTGGAGTCAAAATGTGAAGGGACTATAGCTCCAATTAGCTCATAGCGGGATCAAGATTTTAGCCAACAAATTTCTTCTGCCTCCAGAGGATGAGCCCCAAATCATGGTTGTCTGAACTCTCTGTAGATTCAGGTGCCTGCATATAATCACAAGCAATCAAATGGGCTGAGGGCTGGAGGGGTAACAAGCAAACCTGATTCTGGATTCTTCATCAATTACTATTGGCCCGCATGCCCAGGTCATGTTGTTTCTCATGCAGACACCCATAATTTCATCATTTCTTCCCACCTCCTACTTGACTCCAAGTGTCTCAAGCCCCCTGAGACACCTATATAGACACCTATGGTTATCTGAGACCTTGTTATTAGGTCTGGGGTTCTACCACCCAGAGTCTCTGGTGTAATGGTGGTGGGAATATTCCTGCATCTGCGATGATAGGCTCTCACCCATCACACATCCTTTGCTTGGGTGGTAGGAGTGGGAAAGGGCATGGAGAAGAGAGAAGAGAGGATATGGAAGTGAAAGAAAGCAAGAAAGCTGGAGGAACTTGACCTAGAAATATGGAACTTCATTCTTCAGTGGGAAATAGCGGAATTACTAGCAATTCAAAGACGTGTTTTGAATCCTTGTGGCATTTACAATTCCATCTATCTAGCTGGCCCAGAAGAAGCAGATTTACTCCAAAAAGTTATCTGTATGGTCAAAATGACAGTATATTTTGTTTCCTTTTGTTGTTGCTGTTATAGGGTTTCACTATGTAACCTTGGCTAGACTGGAACTTGCTATGTAGCCCAGGATGGCTTTGAACTCATAAGAATCTGCCTACCTCTGCCTCCTGAGTGCTAGGATTAAGGGTATGTTGCCACCACACCTGACATATTTTTGTTTTGTTTTTAGTAAGTAACATAATTTTTCTTTTACCTGATTCTCTTAAAGTGTCTGTTTGGAAAGCTGGGTATGAGTAAAATGTTGCATTCTTATGGTCCTAGCATAAGGCCAGCCTTGGCTACATAGTGACTCTAAGACTAACTTGGGCTAGATGAGGCCTCCTTTGCTTTTTCTTTTTTTTTTTGTGTGTGTGTGTGTGTGTGTGTGTTTGTATGTGTGTGAATTTACATAGATCCACCTAACTCTGCCTCCCAAGTGCTGCTGGGATTAAAGGCGTGGGCTACCATGCCCACCCAACTCAAAGTCAATATTTTGATACCTTATTTAAGAATTTGATTTTATTCATTTTATATAATAATAATATATAATTTTTATGCTAGCCTATTAAAACTTCAAATGACTAAATTAAATTAAAATGCAGGTCATATGAAGAGTATTCTCATACAGCTAAAAAGTACTGAGTAAATTATAGGATTAAATTTCTTCGTAACAAAAGTATGCAGAGGAGTCCTAGAAATATCAATTAAATTCCTAATGATGCTTCCCAAGAGATGCTTAAAATATAAGTTTGTTAAATGTGACATGTTGGGAAAACTGAAGGATGTTCCCTTTCAATTATAAACTTCTTAACCCAGAGCAAAAGCAAAGAGTTACTCATGAAAAGTTAGAAATTAAAGTAAACAGAGTGTCTAAAAAGAAGAAAGTGTTTTATGAAAAGTTAGAAATTAAATTAACAAAAGTTCTAAAAAGAAGGGAGTGTTTTTCTGGGAATTGCTAGCAAGGTTAAGAACCGCTGTTCTTGGTTTTAAAACTTTATGTTCCTGATGGCGAATTACACAGACTTTCAGAAATTCCCTCCCTTCTGTTCTTGGAGATCTGGATCCACCATCTTCCCAATTTTAATATAAAAAGTTGCCAAAGATTTCACCAAAAGTCCAGGCAAATGACAGAATAAATAAACAATAGCCAAGAGAGGAGCTTCACACGTTCACATTTCCTTCCAATAGTTCCTCACTTTCATACACTATTGCCTTATTAAGGGAACTGGAAAACTAGAGTGTAATGGGGTGCCATTGGGAAGAAATAACTTCAAAGATTCTGAGAGTCCTCACTTCCTCCTCCACACACAAGAAGTGTTTGCTTTGGTCAAAACATCAGAGGGTATGTGGTGGGTACATTTCACTTCTCCTGGCTTATGGGATTTGTAGTTCTGAGCATGGTAGGAGTGAGTGGATGGGACACTCCCATAGAAATCCCTGCTTTCCTCCCCCTTGTCTATCTTTGTCTTGATACCCGTGTGTCCTTAGAATAATACATATCAAGTCCACCAATTCTTTATAGTTAAAATGATTAAAGGTAAATGTATATATTTTAGTGTCTTAGTCTGCAATTTAATTATTTCAAAAGTAAAATACTCAGTGCTGGAGTGATAGCGCAGGAGTTAAGAGTGCTTACTGCTCTTGCAGAGGACTGGCGTTCACTTCCCAGCTCCAGTGCTTGGTACCTGCACTCACGCGAACACACCTCTCTCCTCACAAACACATAATCAAAAAATAAAATAAATCTTTTAAAAGTGAAATAAAATATTCTGCTAGGCTTTTCTGTGATGGCAAGCAATGATTACCATTTCAGTCAGCAGGGAAAAGCAATAGAAGACGACGGGTGTTGAGGTTACAGGTGGCTTCTCGTGTGGACACTGAACCACGTCAAGACAACAGTCCCCAAGAGACAGCAGACAGTTGGGCCCATCTTCCCTGGCTGTGCTTTCCAATAGCATACAGTGTGCTGCAGCTGCCTGCAGGGCCTCAGGCGCCTCCAGCAGTACAGGTGTGGATGTTTTCATCCCCTTCCTCTGGGGCGGAAGTCGAAGTCTAACCCAGGGGAAAGCTCACACACCCTGGCCCTGGCGTTTGTCTCCATCTCTCTCCAGACATTTCTTGACTTTGCTAGTTTATATTCTGTGCCGTATATTCTTGTTGGGAAAGCAAAGGATTGGTACCTTGACTTCTTTTTCTGGTTTTTCCAGAGTCTTCCACCATGACCTTGGAGAACTGTCTAAATGAAAACTGTTATTATTTTTATGTCAAGTTTCTGAGTCACGGTGATGGGCACAGAGACATCCTAGAGTGATTCTCATTCTAAATGTTAGGCACAATCTGTCATTGCTGCATCAGTCACCATTGTAGGGCCTGGGGAAACGAGCCACACCCAGCAACGATGTTTATTTACACCAAGCTAGATGCTGTGACAAGTGTTTCACATGCATAACATTTAATCCTCAGGACTCCTCCGGAAGCAGGAGAGTCTCATCATTCCTGTTTTACACATGCAGGAACAGAAGAGAAAACAAAGTGACTTGTGTGTGCTCTAAAGACCTTTTTAGCGTGATTTTTATTGTGGTTCAAAATTTAACATGAAATCTGCTGCCACAACTGCTTGGACAGCAGCGGTGTAGCCGCCACCACACATTGCTGTTAGCCAGCCTGGAGAGCTGTTTCTCTTGTGGAACTGGAACTCAAGACCCACTGAGCCACAGCTCTGACCTTGCACAGCAGAATCCAGTCAGATGTTCACATGCAGGGGACAGGGCAGCGCTGGACAAGCACACAGGCTCATCTTGAGTCTTCTGCATGTCTGAGGGGTAGGGAAACGAACAGTGCAGGGAATAGTGGGTTTCCAGACCTCTTTGAACCAGAGCTCTGCATTGCTTATCTCTGGTGACTTTGTGATTCCTGGTATGGTAACCAGTGTGGTATGAGAAATTATCTCACTGTGCTTTCCATGGTAATTATGAAAGAGCATGGCCAGATTACTTTACCCTCAAAAATTCTTGCTGAGAAATGGTCATTACTGTTATCACCAAGGGCTGGAGAAGCAGCAGAATCCAGAAGGATTAAGTTCTATCTTATCTTGTTTCAAGAGACCAAATGCTTGATAGGCACAGCAGAATTTTACCACTATTGTACCTCCGGTAGTTCTCAACCTGTGGATCACGACCCCTCTAGGAATCAAATGACCTGTTCACAGGGGTCACCTAAGACCATTAGAAAACACGTATATTTACATTACGATTCATGACAGTACAGTTAGGAAGTAGCAACAAATATAATTTTATGGTTGGGGTCACCACACATGAGGAATTGTATTAAAGGTGGCAGCGCTAGGAAAGTTGAGAAACCCTGTTTGTGCTCAAAGACTGCAGCACCAGGATTAAATTCAGGTAAGGCTCTCTGCCAAAGGCCTCTTGTTCTGCCCCGATGGCCAGATACCTTTTACATCAGTTTCACAGAGGCAGACGGGTGGGCTTTCTGGATGAAACTGTAACAGAATCTCTGTGTTTCTGTCAGAACGTGAAAAAGACTGACTGGTTCCAGGAGTGGCCCGACTCCTACGTGAAACATATCTACAGCTCAGATGACAGGAATGCTCAGCGCCACCTGAGCAGCTGGGCCATGCGCAACACCAACAACCACAACTCCCGAATCCTTAAGAAGTCGTGCCTGGGAGTGGTGGTGTGCAGCAGGGACTGCTCCACAGAGGAGGGCCGCAAGATCTACCTGAGACCGGCCATCTGTGACAAAGCCCGGCAGAAGCAACAGAGTGAGTGAGGCTTGGGGGGTGGCAGCAAGGAGGCCTGGAGTCTGCTTGGATGCTCCAGCCAGGGTGGACATGTCCCAGGAGCCCAACCAACCCTCCCACTGCATTAGGTGGCAGTCAAGGCATTGATGAGAACTCTCTTAGAGGGAAACACCTACCAGCCCCGACCCCATCTCTGCCTACAAGCCCTCCCATGTGTAAAGTTCCCTCATGAATGCCCCCATTGCTTGGGAGAGAGATTGACTCATGGCAAGTTAAGGAGAAATTAGTTCACGGACTTGCTGCCTGGCACCTGAGTCCTGGGGAGATCCCAGTGAACACAGATCACAGTCTTTAGGAGTGTCACAACAAGATTAAATTAATAAACTCAACTTTATCCATTTAGGTTTTGCCATAATTGCCTGCAGAGATGTTCAGTGTTCTCTCTCTCTCTCTCTCTCTCTCTCTCTCTCTCTCTCTCTCTCTCTCTCTTTCTTCTCTGCCATTTATAACTTAGTGAAAATTTAGTGCAAGTGTTCTCTTTCTCATGTGGCTTTGCCCCTTCTATTTGAGTTACTAACCATAAAATAAAATACTTTTCTATATAAAGAATACTTAATATTAGTAAATAAGTAGGGGAACTTTTGTTCTGCAGAGTGCTTTGACCTGTAAAATAATCCCACTCGTCAGACAGCTGCTGACAGTAGCCATGTATGAGCCCAGTTGGCCATTGGTAGAGTGCTGCTCGTCATGGGTGCTGGCCAGTGGAGGGAAGTGCCTGAGACCGTGCGGGTGTTTCTCTCCACTATCGTGGAATCAAAGCTGAAAGCCGGCAGGACAGCCCAGACTCCGAAGTCAGCCCGTGGCTTTAGTCAGCTCTTTCCTTGCTTCCTCTGTAGGGAAATGCTGTCCCAACTGCAATGGTCCCCTGAAGCTTATTCCCTGCCGAGGCCACGGGGGATTTCCGGTCACCAACTTTTGGAGGCACGACGGACGCTTCATATTTTTCCAGGTTGGGTTTGAGTCATTTACTCGGCTTCTCTCTCATGTGGCAGGTGCCTATCATGTTTTCTATGGAGGAATTTTATCAGTGGTTGAGGTATAGAGGTGTATGGGACTGTGCCACCCTCTGGGAGAGCAAATGCCCAATGCCCTACTTTCACCAGAGGAGGAGCACTGGAAACCCAGGAAGGCCGAGTGCCTCCACTCCTGAGGAGAGATGATGCCTGGCTGAGCATTCCTACCTACACTAGAGCAGATGCATTCAGGGGGCAGCCTGAGTACCAGTGCTGACTCAGCACTAGCTCTGTACACAGGAACAACTTGATTCCTCCCTGAAAGCCCGCCTTTCTGCAAGGTTTGTAAGAAACACTAGTGGGGTCTGGACGTAAACAGGTGAAGAGTGGGCTCCGGTGTCAGACCATCCGTGCAAACCAGCTCTCCCGAAGACATGGCCCTGCTCTGGAGCGACCAGCCGGTTAACGCCAGCTCACTGGAGTGCTGAATGTTTCACGCTGGGCTCCCAGCTTGGCTGTGGAAATCCCGGGACCCACTATCTAAGAGAGGCTATCCAGATGGCATCCTTTCTCCAAGTCTCGTTAGTTCCTTATTCTGTCAACAGGAGTGATAACAATGGTGTGTCTGTAAGCACTGTGCCAAAGATTAAGTGGGAGAAGATGCGTATGTATGGCTGGCACACACTACAGGGGCATGATGGGAGACAGACACCACATAAGGAGGAGGCCTCCCAGGTTGGGAGGCTCAAGTGGGCTTAGGAAGAATTCCATTGCAGCAGGCAGCCTTGCTCACACCAGGTCACAGAAGAGGACAGGACAGAGAACAAAAGCTACACCCTGGGAAGTGCTGTCTAGTTACTAAATTTTGTTTCATTTTTTTACTGCTTTGCCTCTCTTTAGTCCAAAGGAGAACATGACCATCCCAAGCCAGAAACCAAACTGGAAGCAGAGGCGAGAAGAGCCATGAAGAAAGTGCACATGGCATCGGCCTCTGGCTCCTTGCGGATGAAGGGAAGCCCAGAAACAAAGGTCAGCTTCCCCAAGCATGCTCATGAGTGCATCAAGGCCTCACTCCTGAAGTGGGCATGGTAGATGACCCTGGTCCTTCACAGACCAATGAAAGCAAGCATTCTTCTATCTTGCCAATCTGTAAGCAAGCATCCCCTGGGCAAATTGAATCTGAGATTTCACTCTTAATTTTTTTTTTTACCATATTTAAAATAGCCTTGCAAATATTCAGTATGATCATAGACTCATTATAAGTTTTTAAAAGGAACTTGAGTCAGTATTCAACTTATATTTGGCAACTCTATATTTTAGTTCCAATAAACAGAATTAATCAAAATAATCTTCACAAAATGTTGCTAACCTAATGCTTTTGGAGTTTTTTTTTTTTTTCAAGTTTCCATACATCCCTAGCACAGATTGTTTTCTTAGCTTGTCTAAATAATCAGACGGCCTATGGTCATACCATCCTGAATGTGTCTAAACAGTCACATCTAAATCAATGGTTCTCAACCTTCCTAAATCTGTGAGCCTTTAAAACAGTTCCTCATGTGTGATGACCCCCCCCCACCAACCATAAAATTCTTTTCATTGCTACTTCATAACTTTCTGCTACTGTTATGAATCATAATGCAAATATCTGAGATGCAGGATATCTGATATGTGACCCCCGGGGAGTGGCAACCCACGGGTTGAGAACTGTTGATTGAAATAATCAGACAGTTGTTAAGCTGGGTGATCTCTAGTGTGATCCCAGCCCTTGCGACACTGACGTACAGCAGCAGTCAGGATCCAGAGTTTGAGTCCAGCCTTAGTGAGACTCTGTTTAAACAAAACAAACAAACAAACAAAAGTTTCTGGAAATGATGGTCACTCCAATGGTAGGAGGGAAGTGTGGAGCCTGTGTCAAGAAGCACACCACTCCCAGGGCCTCAAAGCATAGCAGGTTTGTCTGTTTGATATAGTGTAACTCATGCTTGGAAAGCTCTAAGTGTATTTATCTAGAAGGAATCATGTTTTAGTCTAATTCCCAAATCCACATGGCTAGCCCTCAATATTCATCTCAGCCACGGGGCATCTCAGCCACTTTACTTGGACAGAATCTTTCTTTCCTCTTCTCAAACTGTCCTCTTATGAGGGAGAACTTACATAAAGAATAATGTAAGAGCTACCTCGCAGCTTCTTCGCCTATGGTTAACTCCATCTATATATAGAAATTGACAGACCAGTTCATGTTCTATTCATGTGTTTTCTGTGAGTTCAGAGAACAGTCTCTAAAGGAGTAAAACAAATAAATCCTACACTACCGTGGTCTCTTGCACTAAGAACTGGACTAGTCCAGATGGGGGAGAAGGGAAAGGAAGAGTGTGGGGGGTGAGGGATAGCCCTGAGAATTGTACCAGGACTAGTATAAACCTTCCATTCTGCATGTTTGTTTTGTTGGTTTGTGTGTGTGTGTGTGTGTGTGTGTGTGTATTTTGTTTTGTTTTTAGATAGCAATCCAGACATGTTGCAAAAAGGCAGTTAGATATCTGATACCTGAGCATGAAGCATATTAAACATCCAGTGTGTTCACAGAGTGTATCAGGCTCTTCACAGCTTAGAAAGTTGTAAACTGGAATAGGACTCACCCTCTCCTCACAGGTTCCCAGCAGTTGTGGAGAGACCGAGCCTCTGGTTGAAGTATGCAAGGAATGAAGGCAATCTTATTGAGGGATATTTGCAGACTAACTCAGGAGTACTTGGGGTAGCTGTGTGGATTTGCTTAACTGTTTTTTCCCCCTGGGGAACCTGCATAAGGATTTGCTTAACTCATTAACGCGAGTGTTCATTTCCCTTTCTAGGTTCTTCCAAGTGAAATACCGAGTCAGGGAAGTTTACCTTTAACTTGGTCATTCCAGGAAGGCGTCCAACTGCCCAGCAGTTACAGCACACCTTTAATAGCTAACGCCTCCCAGCAGAACTCCCTGAATGATTGCCTATCCTTTCCCAAGAGTTACGATTTGGGGGGAACCACTGAGCTGGAAGATCCAACTTCCACCTTGGACCCCACTATGCTCTATGAGAAATGCAAATTCTCCAGCAGTGGGATCTACAGCAGTGAAGACCAGTTTCAGCCTCCTGTCCCTGGAGTCTACACAGATTATGACGATCTGCAAGCCTGGAATAAAAATGCTTCCTTGGGGAGAAATCCTAACGACGACACCTGCTATCCCAACTATCCTCTGCCTGTGTCCAGCTGGCCCTGTGACTTCTTTCCCTCCCAGAACTCTTTGGAGCACTTTCCCCAACAGATCCCACTAGAAGCAGCTGCAGCCCAAACTGGCTGTCATCCACTGTGGTCCAATCCAGGAGGTGAACCTTATGAAGAGAAAGTGCCGATGGATTTCAACAGCTATGTGCCTTCCCTCACGTACCACTCACCTCAGCAGGACCCCTTTCTGCTCTCCTATGGCTCTCACCCTCAGCAGCAATACTCACTGCCCAGCAAGAACAGCAAGTGGGATTTTGAGGAAGAGGTGGCATGCACAGGCTTGGATCACTTCAACAACGAAATGTTTCTAAACCTCTGTCCTTTAAGATGAGTCATGAATCTCAAATTGTTAAAGAGCTAGAAGAATAATACCCTTTGGAAATGGGCTTCAAAGCATAGCCTCAGAGAAATGTTGGAATCGTGATAAGCAGTAGACAAGACTTTTGTTTTCACTCTAGCTGTCTTTTCACCTCGTCAATGCTAATGTGTTTGCTCCAAGTAAGGAATAGAAACTCATTTGTGCCAGGCATGGTGGCACACACCTTTAATCCCAGCACTCAGGAGGCAGAAGCAGTTGGATCTCTTTGAGTTCAAGAGTAGCTTAGTCTACCCAGTGAGTTCTAGGACAACCAAGGCTATGAAGAGAGACCTTGCCTCAAAACCCACCCCCTACCCCACCCTCCAAAAAAGAGAGAAAAAGTAAAAAAGAAAAAAGAGACTCTTGTGTTGTAAAGCCAAATGCTCTCTGATGCCCCTGTTCAAGCTTTGGGAATTCAGCACCTCAGTTGGGCTGTCTGGAAGAGTCTTATTATGGCTAACACATGTCAACCTAGCATTTCATCTATGCCTTTTTGCAAGGCCAAAATGAAGGAACAGAAAGAAGACAGAAGAGCTGGGGAGGTGTGGAGTTGAACATTTTACCAAAGAAGTATTTAATACTTTGTTTAGTTTTATTTTTTTAAATGTGTTTTCTAGATTGTGACTTTATTCTATTTATGAAGAGCAGAAAACAAATGGACTTGAGAAGAGAATGGAACCCACCTCTCCTTCCCTTTCTCCTTCTCAATGGCTTCTCCTTCCACAAGGGCTGAGTTTCTGTCCTCCTCATTTTTATCCTTTATGGTATCTCAATGTCAGGTCATACCTGTGAAATTCTTGCTTACATGTCTTTGTGAAGGGCTGGGGTGTGTCTCAACAGACGAGAGCTTGCTTAGCACGTCAGAGGCCCAGGGTTCAATCTCCAGGAACAAATTCCAACAGCAAAGCTGTGTTAAGGAGGAGACCAAAGCCCCGTTCAGTACCACATGCTGAGTTTATGTTCCATCATGGAGCCATGCTTCTTAGCTTCCACAAAGAATGTTCTAAGTTTGTTTGAGATAGGTTCTCACTGTGTAGCCTGGGCTGACCTCAAACTTAGAACAGGGATTTAGGCTCAGTACCCCAAACCCAAACAGCTAAAATAAGCAATCTCTGTTCCTTTGTCAGCTAGTCAATCCCCAGTGTCTGCTGAAGTACTTTCTGGAAAAGGCAGTCTAGCACAAAATCTGGAATGAACCTTGCCATAAGCAAGTGGTTTCAAACAATCTTTGCCATTTGATTCACAACTAATGCATATGATACAAGAATCAAAAATAAATGATATCTCTTGTTGCCCTGGTCCTCTGCAATACTAAAAGCTTTCTTGTCTACCCCACAGATTAATGACATTTTCTAGACATATATGTATAAATATTATTATACATAATATATAAAATATATTTTCTATATTATTGTGTGTGTGTATGTGTGTGTGTGATGTCCTATCTGGTATTGTATCTACTCTGGCTTTTGCCATTTTAGGTTACAATTAAACACTGGACCTTTGTAAGCATGTAAGTCTGGTTTCCAACGGCACATATCCATTTGTATTATAATTAAAGAGTTCCCCAATCATAACATTTGGATCTAGTAAAATTTTTGGTGTGAATGCAGAAAAATAAATACTTAATTTAGCAGACTTATGCTGCCAATGCTTGTAAATGCCCATGAGGGTCAGAAACTAGACCTCCCTCAGAAACTCTGGTGAGGGAAAATTTATCTCATTTTACCCCAAGGCCCTTCCGCATCTCAAAGCTGATCTCTAGGTTGGCCCTTTATGTCTTTGCTAACTTGGGATGTACTCCCATACAACAGTTCAGATTTGTCTTTTGGAGGAAACCTAACAAAATGAACTATTTGGTGTATTTTCAAAGGGTTGATGAGGAAGCCAGTGAGATGGCTTATCGGGTAAGGATGTTTGCCACCAGGCCTGATGCCTTTAGTTCAGTCCTTGGAACCTACATGGTAGAGAGAATTGACTCTAGAAAGTTACCCTCTGACCTCCACAGATGCTCATTGCATTCACACCTGTGTGCATAAACACACACAATAAACATGAAAAGAAATGGGTGAGGTATAACAGACATAGAGAAGAGTGCAAAAGTCATAGTACACAGCTCAACACATTGAGATAGCCAAGTTGCTGATGTACATTCTTTTGGGGAACAACATACTTTTCAGGTTAGACACAGTTTATTTGACGTCTACGCTGCTTACAAACAATAGCCTTCCAATGAGGTCCTATTGGCTATCACCTAGACTCTGGGCCTGATGGAGTTTCCAATACCTAGAAGATTCTAATTGCATTGAAAGAAAGAAAAAGAACCAATGGCTGCTGGAGAAATTTTAATTTCTATTGCTCTGAGACCTTTAGTATTACAAACATTTCTCTTCACTAGACGAAAGCACCCTATCATCTCAAACATTTTCATTTATAAAAACATCCATAATCAGCCGAGTGTTGGTGGCGCACACCTTTAATCCCAGCACTCGGGAGGCAGAGGCAGGCGGATCTCTGTGAGTTCAAGGCCAGCCTGGTCTCCAGATAGTGCCAGGATAGGCTCCAAAGCTACACAGAGAAACCCTGTCTCAAAAAAAAATCCATAATCTTGATATTTACCAAAGCAAGAATATGTGATTGACTGCCGTCTCCACTCCCAAGTCTGATTCCCAGCCTTCTGAAGGCTTCTACTTCTTAACTCTCTGCTGTTTCTCACACTTAGACTTCTAAATCGTCAGATGCCACATCTGTGTTCTCATGTTATGTATCTGTGCCACTCTGACCACAGACTAGGATCTAAGAGATCATAATGGTACCAGCACCATCCTTCATCATCTTAACTGTATAGTTTGATGATTTTTACCCAGTATACTTGGTCATTTTGTGTAATGAAACCAACCAAAATCAAGATATAGAATATTGCCATTATCCTAAAAACTTCTGTTGGTGTGGGGTTATGGGAGAGGTGGAGAGATGCCCAGGCAATTAAGAGTGTATCCTGCTCTTACAGAAGACTCAAGTTCAGTTCCCAGCATCTGCCCATATCAGGTGGCTCACAACCCCTATAACTTCAGCTCCAGGGAATACTGCACACTCTTCTGGTCTCTGTAGATACCCTCACTCGCATACACACAAACATACACAGCTACACATACTTAAAAATCCTTTTGCTGGGCTGGGTGATGGTGGCGTATGCCTTTAATCCCAGCGCTCGGGAGGCAGAGGCAGGAGGATCTCTGTGAGTTCGAGGCCAGCCTGGTCTCGAGAGCGAGTGCCAGGATAGGCTCCAAAGCTACACAGAGAAACCCTGTCTCGAAAAAAAAAAAAAAAAGAAAAGAAAAAAAAGAAAAAGAAAAAAAATCCTTTTGCTGGACAGAGGTGCCTTTAATCCCAGGACTCGGGAGGTAGAAGTAGGTTGATCTCTGAGCTCGAGGCCAGTCTGGTCTACAGAGTTCAAGAACAGCCAGAGTTGTCTCAAACCACCTCTTCCCCCACCCCCAAAAATTAAACTTTTATAAAGTTGTTGGGCCCCTTATCAGTCAATTCTTTCCTTGAACCCCAGCCCCCAGCAACTTTTGTGTGCTTCCTGTCACTCTAGTGTTCCATTCTCTGAAATGACCTGCAGGTGAAATCACAGGGCCTTCAAAACCAGCTTTCTACACTTGCGTGATGCTGTTAATATCTACAAATGTCTCCTGTGATATTAGTCAGTCTGTTTGCTCTGTTGTATGAATGAAGCACACTTCATATAATTCAGGCTGTTTCTAGCTTTTGTAAATTATGAGTAAGACTACTACAAATGTTCACATTAAAGCTCTTGTGGACATTTCTCCAGTCTGTGTACCTAGGCGTGAAATCATTTCATCACATGTTAAATGCATGCTGTAATGTTAGAAGATATTAAACTGTGTGACAAAGTGGCTGCAGTATTCTTCAGGCCTGTCAGAAGTAAACACGAGAGTTCCTTTCCTTGACTTCATTTTCAAGCTCCTAGTCATTCTTAGAAAGAAGAAGTGGCATCTCATTAAGGCTCTATTTTTGGAAGCAGGGTCTTACTCTGTAGCTTTGGATGACCTGGGACTCACTATGTATCCCAGGCCTCCCCACTGCTGGAATTACAAGCATGAGCTACTATGCCTGGTTTCTCACTGAGGCATTAAGTACATTTCCCCAGTGACTTATAGGGCTGGGCATCATTTTATGTTTTATTTACCACTTGTATGTCCTTGGTAAAGTATTTACTCAAATCTTTTGCCTATCTTTGGTTACAGATAACAAGGTCCAAGAATTGTATCTTAAGGATCTAAAGCTCTGTGTCAGATATGTGTTTTGTAGGCTTTTGCTTTGTAGCTTCTAAATAGATATTTGTAATCCAATGTATGATTTACAAGTATTTTCTCAGTTATTATATACTATCTAATCCAAAGCCATAAAGATTTTCTCTATACTTTCTTTGAATGATTTTATTTTTAGCTACTATAGCTAAACCATGCTCTATTTCTACATAAATTTCATATATAAGGTATGAGGTGAGAGCTGAGTTTCACTTTATTTTTCATATGGATAGTAAATTGTCTCAAAGGCATTTGTTTGTGGTTTCCTTATTCAAATATAGTAAATAATGTGTATTTCCCATATCTCCCCTTTATTATTTGGAAGATGTTTGTATTTATTACAGTACTTCACTGTTCCAAGGAAGATTGTGATGGGACATTATTAAAAATTCAATTTGGGAAAGGGTTTTATTATTCATCCTCCTCTCTAAACAACATCTTCACAAATAACATAGCATAACATTTTTTTACTGTGCTGATAGTTTTCAAATACCTATCTTAGCTTCTCTCTCTATTGTTGTGTTCTTTTTCTTTCCTTAGAGGAAACATACAAAAGCAAATCCAGCAACATTTTCCAGGTAAATAATTTGGTTATTCTTGTTTGGTTGGTATTTTTGTTTTTAGAAATACAAAATGCCCCGTCATCTTAGCTTATCACAGTGAAGATGGAGTAGTAAGATCAAAATGAGTGTATTTATTACATAGAGAAT